TGCTTGTTCTCAAGACTTTTTTGCTTGCTGTTTTGCTGTTTGATTGTTATGAGACCCTCGTGTCTATTTTATTTTGTATGTATTTTCATGAAGCTCGGCTATCCTATTTTTGTTGTACTTTTTCAACCCTTGCTGTAGAGAGATATTATCTCTGCTTTTTGTCAAATTCACCTCAGTAAAGACTATATTATTTTTTTGAAATTCATTAGTTGTGGACTAACTTTGTTCGTCCTCTGCTCTTGGGCCACCAGTTGCTGACTTAGCTCATCTAGTAAGGGCTACTGCTAACCACACCGTAGACCCGGATTCGATTCCCACTCAGATCATTACAAGCGGAGTGATGCTTGCAGGCGCACGCAGTAGAACACATCTCACGGCGTAGTGGTGAGAGTTGTGTGTGGCTTTTAGTGCAATGTAAACAAAAGAAATGTTAGACTAATTATTATGTATTTATGAAAACGGATGATAACAACGTTGATTTAAATACTTCCCTAATATAAAGCTTAAATTTTCATTAGACATGATAATCGTAAAACCATAATTATTCTTCAGACTATAATCGTGCAACCAAAATCTATAATTGTTGCACCCATAATTGTGCAGTTCAAGACATGACATATGAATGTGTCTGAAGAAGCCAACTTCAGCAATGCACTGCTTTTGTTGTGCGTTAAAATACAACATTTGAATGTTTGCAAAAAAGCCACATTGCACAATGCACTGATGTTATGTAGTTTCAAAATCCAACATATTAACATTTTAACGTAGAAAAACAAAACGTGAGTGTCTTAAGGAGCAAAAATAAAGCTTATAGGCTCTTATATGCTGTTGTGTCATCACTCATTTGGGATGCTCTTCATAAACTTGCCCCCATGACAAACTAATTGAATAACCCTGATATACAGTAAAGTACAAACCCCCTTATTACTTGTCAAATAACTGCACTCATGCTGAAAGCACAATCAACATTGTAAATAGTGCTATAGAAATGGATGAATTGTTAAGAAAATATTTGTTTTATGTAATTAATTATTACTCTCTGGCTTAGTGGTTAGCACTGTCGCCTCACAGCAAGATGGTTTGAGTCCCAGTTGGTGTTTCCATGTGGAGTTTGCATGTTCTTCCCGTGTTGGCATGGGTTTCCTCCGGGTGCTCCGGTTTCCCCCACAGTACACATATAGGTGAAATGGATTAATTAAATTGGCCGTAGTGTATGAGTGTGTGTGTGTGTGTGTGTGTGAATGTGAGAGTGTATGGGTGTTTCCCAGTGTTGGGTTGCAACTGGAAGGACATCCTCTGTGTAAAACATACACTGGAATAGGCGGTTCATTCCACTGCGGCCACCCCTGATAAATAAGGGACTAAGCTGAAGGAAAATTACTGAATGAATGATTATTACATTCAGATCACTTTTTTTTTTAAATATCAAATCCTATTGTGAGAGGCCTCAACATTTCCGGCCCTTCCTGTACATTGTGACCTTGTCTTCCTGTTTTGCATCTGTTATTGTGTTTTTTTTTTATCATTAATTTTATCATTATGTTTATTAGTGCAAATCAGACCTATTTAGGTTTGTAGTACTTGTAGAAGTACTTTTGTTTTTATCCATTAAAAATACATTTTTATCAGAACTAAATTTTAATAACAAAAACTAAAAATTAAAAATTTCAAGGATTAAATTAAAGTAGTTATTATATTTTATAATCTAAATTTTAAGGGGTTAATTCGTGGAATAATTGATTAAAAAGTATATGCCAGACAAAAAATGTTTAATATTGCTTGTTTGTCTGTCTTCCTTTTTCTTTTTTTACACAATAGCTGCGTCTCAAATCAAATCGCATCGCATGCACTATTCTACGCCATTTTGTAGTATATCAGTGTAAGTAGTGCTTTCACTCTGAAAAGTCTAATAATAATAAGAGCACTCTAATTACCCGGATGATGCACTCATTCAGCCGGTAAAAGGAAGTGAGTAATGACGGACACTTCACACATGCTCCACCATTAAATATACTAGAGTAAAATAAATGTTCATATTTTAAAGACATGGCACTGGAACAACTGGAACTGGATTCAACAATGAAGCAGTAAAGATTGTTGATTTCTAAAGAAAACAGAACATAAGCGCGCAGATTTTGTAACTGCATACAGTTCACCGGAAGCACTTGACCCAAGTTACTGCAAAATGAAAGGTCCTTCTGCATATAGCCTATTAACCTTTTTTTTGCTGATTATGTGCAAAAAATAAAGAAACATAAATTCATTTCATTAAATTTATTTATTTACTTATTTATTTATTTTAAAATATTATAAAAAAAATACAAATTAATTTAAAAAATGTATTCATTCATTAAAAATGTAATTTTGAAGGATCAATTATATATTAAGTACATTATTTAAAAAAAAACTTTTGCTAATAAACTCTGTCAATTAGCTATTTTTTAGCTGTTTCTGTCTAATAAAAACTCAGATAGCCCAACCTATAGTAATATTAAAATCTGCAAAAAAAACATTTTAAATTTCATTACAAATGTATTTTAATTAATTAGAAGTTTATTTAAAAAAAATAATTATAAATTATTAATTCCATATTTATTGCAGACAGTATAAATCTTTGGCTAATTAATTTTGGTCAATTATTTATTTATTTATTTATTTTGGCTGTTTCTGTTTAATATTTCCAGGTGAAGACAGATTTGAACATGGTAAAATGTCAAAATAGCCCTAATAATTTTAATACTAAAATCGGAACTGTTGCAAAAATAAATAAATAAATATAATAATATATAAATATTTATTAATGCTATTAATTACAAAAAAAAAAATTTCTCTTTAATTACAAATTTATTTAAAACTATTTGCAAATATATTTTTAAAATTAAATACAAATTATCAATTACACATTGATTACAGTAGGAAAAAACTTTTGGTAAATCAACTTTGTCAAGTTATTTATTTATTTTCAGGTGGCAAAAGTTTTAAACATGGTAAAATGTTAAAATAGTCTAACCCATAGTAATACTAAAATCTAAACTTTATACATGTTATATACATGTTCATAAAAAATGCTACAAATTTATTTAAGAAATTAATTACAAAATATTAGTTAGACATTGGTCACAGTATAGAAAACTTTCGGTCATTTTTTATTATTAATATTTATTTTTTTTAATTTTTGGCATTTCTGTCTATTTTCAGGAGGTGAAAGATGTAAAATAGCATAAAATAGGCATAAAATGTTAAAGTAGCCCAACCTTTAGTCTTAAATGTTAAAAACACATCTATTTACCAGCATGCAGATTTGAACCCACAAGTGGGTGAGTAAATAATTATAAGATTAAGCATTTATCTAAAACACTAGATAAACAAACCTAAATTATAGGCTGTTTATTTTCCTTCATAATCTGTTTAATGAACGACTTTTTTGACGCTTTGGTTAATCTCATAATTTAACCTATTATGTCTGAATTGGGTGACTCAGGCTTTATTGTTTACTGGGACAATCCCAATTCCACAAGGTGTTTCCAACCATTAACTAACAAGTGTAAATGCGTCCCTGGTTTATCAGTTGACTTCACATGATAGAAATTGTTGAAATTACTGAATATTACACACTTTACTGCAGTACGTCTTGCTAAATTTTTAGTCCTCTAGTGTGTTTTCTAATGTTTCTTTTGTTTTCACAACGTCACTGTTTTCTTTAAAGTCCGCATGACCCGGAAACTGCAACCTTTTTTTTTACATATTATGATGCAGTTCCTAGAGAAAATATTAAATGAGAAAACAGTGGGAGTGGCTTGTTTTTTTTCTTCTGTCAGCTGAATGGATGTAGTAAAGAAGGCATTTCATTCAGAAAGATCTAGAAAAAGGTTTGGAGATTATAACCTAAAATTGTGATTGATTACATCCTAACAGACTCCTGCTCAGCATTTCTGTTTGTTGTCATAAGCCCCTTTCACACAGTGATACCGGTAAATATCTGGAAAATTTCCGGAACGACTTTACCGGTATATTGAAAAAAGCGCTGTTCACACAGGCGAGGACGTTACGGAATTTTTCCGGAAAAGAGCATTCACACATCCATTCCAAAATACCGGTAAATTCTGACATCATTCACCACAAATGAGCTTTAAACGGCTGCGCTTGTGTTTGTAAACATTTGACTAAATTACAAACTCTGTGGATGATCAATATTGTGAACAACTTTCGCAGGATCATATTCGCATGTCGAGATGTTCATAATATGTGCGTGTGCAGGCGCTCACAGGCTGTTTCAAAGACGCACGCAAAGCTTGAAGGTAAACAAACAACGGCTTATCATGAGCATCTCATCAATGATTGTTTACACAGTTGGCATTAAGAAGAACATATAAACGTGATCTGACTAACTTCTAGCAGCTAAATGTGTCTGGAAAAATATTCAAAGGCTTTTATCCTCACAAACCGTGCGGACGTAAACGCGTCTGACTGTTGTGATTGGCTAAAGCAGACGTCTCACGTCAGCACGTTCTAGACGTGCACGCGCTTATTACGGTAATCTTCCTTCTGCATTCACACAGCGCAGCATTCCGGCAATTGCCGGTAATGTTACAACTTCTCTTTCCAGAAAATAGCCAGAACGAATTTACCGGTATTTTCAAAAAGGACCTGTTCACACATACAACCTTTCTGGAAAATTGCCGGCAATTTTCCGGAAAGGTCTGTATGTGTGGAAGGGGCTATAGCTGATAGCTGGAGGGGCGTGGTAAGTATGTTAGCCACGCCCACCACCATAGACCTAATCTGAGAATTGAACTGAAAACCAACAGCAAGTGCCTTTTCAGATATCAGTTTTAGATTACAAGGGCAAACAATTTTTTCGGAATGGCATGCACAGATGAATTGTTCACAACAAAACTAGCAATGTGAGCTAACAATATCAGTATGGTTAGTTTTGATTTCATGTGTACTTTAAGGTCATTCTAATCTGACTTTGTCTTATTTTGATGCTCCTCCCCCAGCCACCTGTTGGCCCCGCCTCCCATCCGATGGCTCCGCCCAGTCCTGGAACCAACAGCAGCACTAATCACAGCAGCAGCAGCAGCAGCACAGCCGGCTGGGAGCAGCTCAGTAAAACCAACCTGTACATCCGCGGGTTACTGCCATCCACCACTGACCATGACCTGGTCAAACTCTGCCAGCCGTGAGTAAAACATCCTTTACTGCTAGACTGACTCACCTTCAGACAATAATGTTGAATAAAGAACAATGAATTGAAGCAAGGATGGCACTTGGTTAACACTGTTGCCTCAATGCAAAAAGGTTGCTGGTTTGAGTCTCTACTGGGCCAGCATTTCTGTGTGGAGTTTGCATGTTTTCCCCATTTTTTTTGTGGGTTTCCTCTGAGTGCTTTGGTTGTGAATTTCATATACTAAATTGGCTGTGATGTATGAGTTTGTGTGTGTGAATGAGAGTGTGGGAGAGTCCCAGTACTGGGTTGCTGCTGGAAGGGCATTCGCTGTGTAAAACATATGCTGGAATAGTTGGCGGTTCATTCCGCTGTGGTGATATATAAGGGACTAAGCAGAAGAAAAATGAATGAATGGGTGTGTGAATGAATTCAAGCAAAAGGCAGAACTAAAATGTACTTTTTTTTTTGACATTTTGCTTATTATAACTATTTAAATCCGTAAATCAGTTTACCACGTCTTTTATTTTCACCTTAAATGAAAAACAGTGCTTGTTTTTGAACATAAAAACTTCTCTAAATGTCCAAAATATAAATAAACAAGCAAAAGAAGTGTTGTACTTCACATTAAAAATTTAGGACATAAACATGCGAACAGTAAGATATTAAGGCCGATAATTAAATCAATAATTAATGATTTTATAAATTAATTGTTGCAGTCCAATCGTAAAAGAAAAATATAAAGTTTTAACAGGCCTAATGCTGTGTTCATACCAGACGCAGATGAAGCATCAGGCACGAGTGATTTACATCTTAAGTCAATACAAAGACACGAAGAGACATCCTGCGCCGCGATGCATGCAAATGATGTGATTGGCGTGAATGAATTGGCGCAAGTTGAGCGTTTTGTGCAATTGACGTGCAAAACGCTGGAGATGGAAAATCTGAACTTCAGCAGGCATTCGTGCCACGTTAACCAATCAGGAGCTAATCATGTCACTGGTAGGGACATGATTAAGACCTAGGGCTTTTTTTTTGAAGTCCCGAGGGGATAATCCTCCTGCCGACACCGACAACAGTTCGTCAAACTGGGTTCTGCTCAATTTGAAGCACCGCTGAAAGCTTCCATTATCCAGGTATAGTTTCAGGAGGAGTTGGTGAACTCTCAGAGCTGGGTGCACCTCAGTTTTTCAGCCTTTCTAAAGCACATAAACACAGCTATTCTCAATAAATCCCTGTTAGCTATTTAGCAACGAAGCTAGTGTGACCGGGCAGACAGAAGCCCTGCCTATGTTTCGAATCCGTGTCTATTGTGATGAGAATTTGATGCGTGAATTAAGCAGATTTGGCGCGCGAATGAAGCAATTAAACTCAATGTTCATGCGTCTATTTACGCACAAATATTGCGATTTTGTCCACACTTGCCCGTCTGGTGTGAACAAAGCATAAGGGGAGCATCTCTGCACTTCTGGCATCTAGTCTGCCATGTGCACAAATATGGTCATTGCTACTTAAAGAAGAATCAAAATAAAGTGGAATCTCATATAGAGTAATTTTGCATTCTTGTGGCCCGTTAGAAACTTTTGCACAATCCAATACTATGCCCCGACTCAGTGATTTGAAGACTCCTGCCAATGCATTGGTGAAATTAACAGTTGGATGTGGCAAAACTTTCTTCAGTCAAACAAAGAGAAAACTGAAGTCATTGCATTTGGGAGCAGAGATGAGGTTCTCAAGGTGAATGCATACCGTGACTCTAAGAGTCAAACAACAAAAATGAGGTCAAGAATCTTGGTTTGTTTCCAGTGAAGACTTAAAGAAACTTGTTCATGCTTTTATCAGCAGCAGGATGGATTACTGTAACAAAAAGATAGTCAGACAGTTGCAGCTCATCCAGAACGCTGCTGCCAGGATTCTGACCAGAAGATCGGAGCACATCACACCTGTCCTCAGGTCTTTACACTGGCTCCAAGCTACATTCAGAATAGATTTTAAAGTATTTTTACTTGTCTGTAAATCATTAAATCAACCCAAGCTCATTCTGGAAACGTAGCCCCGCGGACGTTTCTGGAGACAGCGATTTACGTGGCCGGAGGTACGTACGGACGCGTTTAGTTTTTTTCGAGCAAACGCTGCAGGGCGGTGAGAACGCGGCAGGGCGGTGAGAATGCGGCAAGATCCGAAAATGCGGTCGAAATCAACGGGAAATCTCGGGAACGGCGCGCGCTCCCGAGAGGTGCCCGAGACGTGAAAAAGCGCGCACAGCGGCCTCTCGCGAATCCGCAAAAACAAAAAATGCTCGAATACGTACCTCCCAGGACGTATCTCACGGTCCGCAGAAACGTCCGAGGGGCTACGTTTCCACAATGAGCCCGGGTTGCATTAAATGGCCTAGGAGCTCAATACATTACAGATATGCTCACTGAATACAAACAGATCACTCAGATCTTTAGGATGATATAAACTACAAATTACAGAAGTTTAGTCAAAGCTGGGTGAACTGGCCTTCAGCTACTACCAGCGCCCCCGCTGCTGGAATCAGCTTCCAGAAATGATCAGATGTGCTCCAACATTAGGCACATTCAAATCAAGACTGAAAACTCATCTGTTTAGCTGTGCCTTTACTGAATGAGCACTGTGCTGCGTACCACAGATTCTTCTTTTTCTCTTTTTCATTCCATTAAAACCTGTTTTAACACATTTAAATCAGTTTTTAATCATTTTTCAGTCATTTTAATCAGTTTATGTAAAGCACTTTGAATTAAGCTTGTGTATGAAATCTTGCCATTAGAGTACAGCTCAGACGGACTCGGTGTGTTAGAAAACTCATCTTTGACAGGTGTTTTATTTGCTGTAGTAAGAGATAAGATGAAGAGCATGGCCTCCAGTGCTTCTGTTTGTCAGGACATGTCTCATTAGTCCTGGTTTCACAGCTCCTCCAAATGGAGATCGATTACTGTGGCCGGCGATTTAATGATCCATTCGCTGCTCGCAGGGTCACTGTTGTATTCGATGCTCATTCTGAAACAATGTGCAGTTATTGCTTGATGAATGTTTGAACATGTGGTCGAATGGCTCGGAGGTCGGTCTATTGATCAGAGAGTGTGCGCTAGAAATGGAGGAAGATTATTGAGAGGCGTATATAGTGTAATTGCTCCGACTGAGACCCAAGGCCTTTTTGACACTCGGAGCAGGTCAGACGTTGGCATGATGTCATTGAACCCTTTTCGTAAGACCGTTATGGCATGTTTAATCATAATCTTAAATCCTTGAAAGTTTTGAACTGTGATGACTTCTGCTGCTGAGAAACACAGAAATGTGTCCATCAACACATGGCGCTGTATTGGTATACGTCTAAACAAAAACTATATACAATACAGAGTTCAGCTCCAACTCGCTTCAACACACCTGCCAGGAAGTTTTTAGTATATATAGCAAAAGCTTGATTAGCTAGTTCAGGTATGTCTGATTAGGCTTGGAGCTAAACTCTCCAGGACACCCCAGGGGCCTCATGTACTAAAACTTGCGTGGAAATCTTACTAAAACATTGCGCACGCACAAAGCTGTAAATGTGCGTACGCAGAAAAAAATTCAGATGTATGAAACACTGCGTACGCCGAATCTCACGCATATTCTTTTGTACATCTGAATGAACGTGAAACTGAGCGCAACATGCACGAGCACAATACCCCTCCCTGCCTTCTCCCCCGTATGAATATGCAAATGACTATACTTTGGCAAAACCCAACGAAAAAGCAAAGGCAAAAGCAAGCAAGAAGAGAAACTTTCAACAGAATGTGAATTGGAGGTGCTGCTTTCGGAGGTAGACCGGAGAAAAGTGGTGTTATTTGCAAGTTTGTTCTCCGGAATTAACAACAAAAGAAAAAAATATAGTGGTAGAGTTTAGCTGATGCTGTTAACACAGTTCTGAACATCGCACTGAGTGAATTAGAAAAGAAATTATGTGATTTATAGGCGTAAAATGTTGCAGTACCCTTAACAGTCTCAGTGGCGCAGCTCGTAAGATGCATGTCAACATGTTTTGACACGTTCGAGCATGAACTCGGTTCGAATCCAGCGTCTTATGAACTCTTTCTTCTTTTTTTCCCCGCTACATATCAGATTTTACCAACTATTTATCATGAGAAAGACAAGTAGGAATCATTAATAAGTTTGTGCATCATATTTTATTTGCACATTTATTGAATGGAAATGTTTCTGATTCACGCATGCAAATTCATCTTCAGATAGTGTCTTTATAGCAATGTGTGTGCAGTAGATCGCTCAGATTACATTGGGAAAACAGGCGACCGCTGCAAATTGTGCTTTAATGTTTAGCTGGTCAACTGTATGGTATGGAAACCTTATATACCTGCTAGATGAACCCGTCTCATACAGCTGCCATTGCAAGGCTCAGACACTTTGTAGAGAGCAATTTAACACAACTGCCGCTAGGAGTTGCCAATGGAAATAAAACAAACACGCACAAAAAATGTATCATGTATCAACGCTGCGTTTCACACCAGGTTTCACGCTCAGAATCGCTCACGTTTGGATTTACTAACGATGAACTGAACGTGGGAATGTGCGCACCTCCACGGCAGCTTTATGGCTGGCGTGCGCACATTCCCACGTTCAGTTCATCGTTAGTAAATCCAAACGTGAGCGATTCTGAGCGTGAAACCTGGCGTGAAACGCAGCGTTGATACATGAGGCCCCTGGTCTAGACAAAGACTATTTATATATAAAGACAAAGACAGTTTTGAAAAGGGAAAAGTGTAATGCTGTGTTCACACCAGGCACAGATGCGCAAATAAATCGAGCTATTCGCGCGTAAATAGCCATGTGAACATTTCAGTTTACTCACTTCATTCACGCGTCAAACCCCGCTTCATTTGTGCATCAAATCCACTTCGTTCACATGTAAAATTCACTTCAGAACAAATGCGGATTCGCGTGATGGGCAGGGCTTCTGTCTTCCCGGTGACTCTAGCTTCACTGCTAAATGGCTAACA